TGGCATTCACGCGCGGGCTAAATTAACAGGCATATCGAGCTTCCAGATGCCTTCCTCGCGTTGCGCGAGCAGATCGAGGGCAGAGGTCAAGGGCAGAAATCAATCCCGGCAGAACCGACTTAATTACACTGTAAGCTGTACGTTTTTTTCATTCCTTGACAATGAACTCGCGGGAGAGTTCGAAACGTCGGACTAATACACTCCTGGTCGCAGAGAACGTCTTACCTTCTCCTAGGGTTGAATAATAATAATAATAATAATCATGCAAATAACCAAAAAATATAAATTTCCAACAATTGACGATTCTTATTAAGGAGGTTTGGCAGATTCGGTTAATTTAGTTGACCCAATTATGAAAAAACTCGGAGCATGCCGAATGCCGCGAGTTTTTTCACAATCGGGTCAACTAAATTAACGATTCGTTGCGAAAAATCAAGCAATTGTCACAATACGTGGAACCATCTGTGATGAATATGGGAACCGGTATAGAATCGCAACTGCACTCTATCAATGCAGCAAAGCTTCTAGCAAGCTGTCCTTTTATGAGTTTGTTTTTGATGATCGATTACAGTGTGCATCTGAAAGTTGACTAATAAATTCATGTAAAGGCGATCGCGTCTCCTTTTTCTCTTCCCTTTCCTGTTAACCCAGAGCAAGGAAAACAATGGAATCGCCTAATCCAAAGGTTAGCGTAGTTCACGTTTCTTATGGTTAATTGTTCGTCCAAACCCACCTACTACTGAATTAAATTATAAGAATAAACGATAGCCCAACGAGCAGGCCAGCCCTTCAACTGAAAATGACATTGTGATACGACTAATGTAATGTATAAAGAATTGAATTAATGAAAAGGAGCGGCCTTTAGGCCGTACATGGTTTCAAGAGGTATTAAAAGAAGGGGAAAGGTGTATTTTAACTTGGAGGAGTGCAGCTGAACTACTTACCCTAGTGCAGGGCCTCCAGTGTAACACAACCACCGAGGCGATCATGCAGAGTACAGACACTAAAAATAGAAGAATGGTTGTGAAGAAACTTAATCGGACTTATCATCAATAACTAGAGCACACGCATAGCATAATAGCTTCGGACGAAAAGGACGGGTGATAGTAATTTGAAATGAACCTATTTACTCGTCGGAGGACTAAAGTATATTTTCTCGGTCACATCCTTTTTCAAAAAATCATATATATGTCATGTTGCACGCCAAGGAGATTGTACTTAGAATAATTTATTAGAATATTGCGATTTCTGCAAAAATTCCTATTTTACGATTGAAAAATCGTATTAGCAAACAATCGTTTTCGATCTTTCATCTTCAGGCCGATACAATGACATGGAGAATAAAACGGTCGG